CGGATTTATTAAATACATGAATATTGAACAATTTGTACATCTATTTAGCAGAATACTTGTTGAGGATGCATCAGCAATATTTAATCAGCTTGAATAATTCAATAGCATTGATGAAATTATTGCCCATTTCTGTACTAAGAAAATGAATCCTCCAACGTTACAAACTTTGACGATTGAGCAGGCTATTTTTTTTCTCAATCTTATTAAAACTAATGAGTAAACCATTTCAAATAATTATTGCTTTCTTGCAAGGTTCGAGATGTACATGTAGATGTAAAAAAATATGAAAAACCATATGCGAGTAAACAATAGCAAGAAATTAATGAATTTTTCTCTATCCCATCACAACTCGCCAAAGAGGATGAGCAAGTACACCATATTAAAAAATATCACCTTCTTGTACTAGAGGTGAATTAAGCTGTATAGTAAAATTAATGAGACATAATTTAATAAATCACTTAATCACAACTTGGAAGTTATTCATCCTGAAGCTTACTCTTCTTTTGTTTAATTGGGGTATATATTTATACTTGACCATAAACAATTTTGATATTCTTGAAGAATATAATAGAGATACCAAATAAGATTATGTTCTCTGAACTGAAATTAATAATGCTATCGATTTGGCTCAATATTTTAAGCAAGTTATTTTACAAAGTACCATATGTATGGTGGACGTGTAACAGATACTACAAATTTGATAATCCTTGGGGTTTGGACTAATTCTACAAATTGGCGTTATATGTTTTTGTGTCTGATGGGCGTGTTGAGAAATTTTATACTGTTACAATTATCAATATCAAATTTGGTAAACATGAATATAAACATGATTTTGATGATTCATTAAACACATGAATGTAAAAAAAGATCTTTAATAAATTGTTGTTTAATGAAGTGCAGACTATACATAACTGAAAAATATAATTTAATTTTAGTAATTTGTTTGACTACATTTTTTTCTTGATATATAAGGTTCAAAGGATACATTTTCGACATTAGCAACTAATTGGTATCTATAATTATTACACATTTAACATAGATTATATATTGACTTTATATGTAATAATTTTAATATATTTATTATTTAATAAAATAAATATTATTTCATATAATTTTAATTGTTCTTCTTATATATTGTCTAGCTAAATTTCAAACTTATTCTACTTCTTTGATTTTTAATGCAGCATTTATTGGCTGAAAGATTCTGGTCGATAGCCGATAGATCAATAAAAATTGTTTACTAATAAATATTTCTAAAATCTTCATAAATTACAAATGTTTGTTATTTAAAATATACAATTCTAGATTGTACAACAATCTAGATAAGAAATAATATAGATTAGATTAATTAATCAACAAAAATAATAATCAATAAGTAGCCAGAAATAGATATTTTATTTAGTAATACTTGCATCATGGGTGGGAACACGAGTAAAAGCGATCAACAACGAATAATTGAGAAAGTGGAAAATAGTGAATTGGTGAATACCAGTACAAGTGATGATTTGGAAGAAAATAAGCACAATTTTATGAAAATACCAGGAAACCACACAAAGAAAGATGATAGATTTAAAGAGTTTAGAAGATTACTTGAAAAAATTAGAAAGGAACCTAAGTATGTAGATAAATGTGCTTTATTGACTGACATGCTCACGTTTGGAAGCGATGGTGTGAAATTTCAAGGAAATATTGTAACTTGGAGCAGATTATTGATACCGGAGCTAAATCCTATGATTTATAATATGAAAATTGAGCAATTGATAAAGTTATTTAGCAAAATATTTGATATAAATATTACCAAAATGTCTATTCATTATGAGAAAACTATGGAGATTGATGAAACGATAGTTAATTTTTATATTAAAGAGATGGCTCCGTTTAGTTCGACCACGTTGACGATTGAACAGGTTGATGAATTCCTCTCAATTCTATCAGAGCTAACGGAAGAAAACGACCAAGTAAACCATTTTAAAAAGTTCTTGCCTTTCTGCACAGCTGGAGATTTGGACTGCATTGTAAAATTAATCATGCATGATTTGAGAATAAATTTAAAATCAAAGGATATCTTAGAAGCGATACATCCTGGTGCTTATTCCGCTTTTTTATCATGTAGTGATGTTACTCTTGCAGTAAAACAATGTTTTTCAAAATTTGATGATTCATCCAAATCTGAACCACTTACAAAGATTACGGATGAAAATTTAAATGAATATTGCCATGATATAAACAAAGATAATACATTTAAATAATTCAGAAGATTGGTTACAAACATCAGAAATGAAAATAATGTTGCAAATAAAACTAATTTATTAACCGATATGTTTACATTTGGAAGTGATGGTGTAAAATTCAAAGGAAATATTATAACATGGTGTAAATTATTATTACCGGACCAAAATCCAAAAATTTACAAGAAGAATATTGAACAATTATTAAATTTATTTAGTAAGATATTCGACCAGGATATGTCAGAAATGTTTCAACATCTTGATCAATCAGTTAGAATCAATGATACTATTGTGCATTTTTATGTTAAAAAAATGGCTACATCGACGGAAACGAATTTGTCGATCGATCAGGTAGATGAATTTCTTGAAGTTCTTTCCAAACTTACCAAAGAGGATGAACAAGTGAAACATTTTGAAAAATTCTTACCTTACTGTACGGTTGGAGATTTGGACTGTATCGTCTTATTAATGAGACACAATTTGAATATGGGTTTAGAACCCAAGTACATCTTAGAATCTGTACATACTGATGCATATTCTGCTTTTTTGTCGAGCGGTGATATCACCTTATCCATTAATAAATGTCTTTCGAAATCATTAACTGAAAGTGCTATTAAGAAGAAAATCAAACCGAAACATAAATCTGTTAATTTTGATCAATCTAAGAATTTGAATAAAAATGATGAACATCAATCAAACATTCATTCTTTCAAAGTAGTGTACAAGACAAGTGTTATTTTAAGTAATGACAATACATTTGAAGAGTATAGAGAACTACTTGAAATCATTACAAGAGAGAGCAATTATGCAGATAAAAGTGCTTTACTCACGAATTTCTTCAAATTTCCAAATAAAAATGTAGAAAACATTATAATGTGGTGCAGGTTATTGTTACCCGAGCATAATCCAATGATAAAATACATGAATATTAAGAAATTGGTAAATCTTTTTAGCAAAATACTCGTGGAGGATGCATCAACAATATTTAATCACATTGAACAATCCAATAGCATCGATGAAACTATTGCCTATTTCTATAATAGGAAAATGGCTCCTCCGACCACAACAACTTTGACGATTGAGCAGGTTAATAATTTTTTCTTAGTCATATCAAAACTAACCGAAGAGGATGGAATAGTTAACCATTGGAGATATTTCTTACATTACATTTCTTGCACTATTGAAGATTTAAAGTGTATTGTAAAATTAATCAATCACAATTTGAAAATTGGTTTAGCACCTAAACACATCTTCGAAGCCATCCATCCAGATGCCTACTCTACTTTTTTGTCATGCAACGATATCGTCTTATCCCTAAATAAATGTTTCCCAAAGCTACTTACTCAAGTTGTGACCAAGCCAAAATCGAACTTGGACAAACTTAATAATTTGAATAATAGCGATCAATTTCCGGTAAACATAAATATCAAAGGATTTGAAAAACCACATGCAAGTAAACATAGGGAAGAAACTAAATCAAATAAAACTGAAAAAGCGGATACTACAAAAATACCAAGAATTATTTTAAGGAATGATAACACATTTGAAGAGTTTAGAGAATTCATTGTAAACATACAAAAAGAAAAATATTTAGCTGATAAAAGCGCATTATTAACAGAGATATTCAAATTTGGAAGTCATAATGTAGAAAACGTTATCATGTGGTGCATGTTATTGCTACCGGAACAGAATCACATGATTAAGTACATGAATATTGATCAATTGGTAAAATTATTTAGCAGAATATTCGTTGAAGATGCATCAGAAATATATAACCACCTTGAAAAATCCAATGGCATTAACGAAAGTATTGCGCATTTCTATAATGAGAAAATGGATCCTCCGAGTTCAACAACTTTGACAATTGAACAAGTTAATGAATTTTTCTATCTTTTATCACAACTCGACAAGAAGGATGAACAAGTAAACCACATTAAAAAATTCTTACCTTCTTGTACGGTCGAAGATGTGAATTGTATAGTAAAATTGATGAGACATAATTTGAAAATTGATTTAGCACCTAAATACATCTTAGAAGCTATTTATCCCGAGGCTTACTCTTCATTTCTATCATTTGGTAGTATATCCTTGGCCTTAAAACACTGTTTTTCCAAATCTACCGAAATATTGACTCAGAATATTGTTGTTATGAAACCATTCAAACCCATGGTCGCTGTAGCATGTAAAAGCATTGAACAAGCCATTAACAAATTCCCGAATGGCATGTATGCAGAAATTAGTGCACAAAAAGAAAAATATATTCAATTATTTTTCAACAAAATTAAATCCCGTTAAACATCCTAAAATTAAAGAATTAAATGAATACATATCCAAAGCTTTTCCTCATGGAAAAAATATTATATTAGATTGCGAATTATTAAAGGTTGATATGACATCAGGGGAGATGTTCGGAATACATAGTCAAGACTGTGTAAATCATGCTTCGCTTTGCTTATTTGTTTCCGATTGTTTGTATTTTAATAATAAAGATTTGACTAATAGATCATTAAAAGAGCGAAGGGAAATATTGTGGAAAAATATAATCGAAATTCCGAATTTGATTATGTGTTCCAACATTAAAGAAATTAATAATCCGATCGATTTGGCTCAATATATCAAAGAAATAATGAAAGTGAGGTTGGAAGGATTAATATTGAAGGACATCAATGGAAAATATGAACCAGGACACAAAAATTGGCTGAAGGTGACAAAGATGAACTTATATGGGGGATCCATGGCCAATTCTGCAAATTTAATCGTCCTTGGCGGCTGGTGTCATGATAATAAAATGAGTTGTTTGTCTTCATTTCTGATGGGAGTTTATGATGCTAAAACTGATAAATATTACACGGTAATTAAGTTAGCTCACTATTTGGAAAGTATGGATATGTCAAATTTAATCAATATTAATGGAGACGTAGATAAGAAACCGAGTTGGCTAAATTGTTCCAACAAGATGGTGCCCCAATTTGTTTTTTTTTTTTTTTTT